CACGGCTTACAAAAGCGTCCCCGGTCTATTGCCAGCAATGAACAAAACAGTTTTTAAATGTTGTGTATATGCTTCTCCCCTTCCCCCACTAAAATCAGCTCTAAAACTCTGACTTCCAGTCCTTTCTAATGGGACCTGATGTGTCCTGGGGCCCAGATCTATGCACAAGAGTGACTTTACACACATGAATAGTCCCTGGAGTTCAGTCATGTGCAAAAAGCTATTTGTGTGCCCAAGTCCTTGTGGAATCGGGGCCTTAGTCTAACCTGCTTCATTTAGCTGTCAACACAGTGGTCTCCGGTTTGCCTAGCAATTCTTTCTTTTTCATCTGATGCAGAGGTTAGGTGCTCTTTGATACTGTTCTTTCAGCTTTCCCCTCCTCTGTGCGCTGCAGTGCCCAAAAAGGGATGTGTGTATCTCTCAAGCAGATATCATATTGACGTTAGCTGTCACTATGTACAATACCTAGACATGTTCAATCTCACAAGTATTTGTGAGTGTTCCTTTGGGGATAGATACTGGGTAGTTACAGTGCCTAGAGGATGCTTGAAGGAAGGCTGTTACAATAAGAAACAGAGATTAAAAATAGTTTTTATCCATGCTCACTGATGGTCCTAGCATGAACAATCAGGCTTAGCGTGGGAGGGATCTCCCTCAGCCAAGTGAGAGAGAGTTAGAAATCATCTGACAGAGAGGTGAGGGAGGTCACACATTACCCTCTGCCTCGGGATCCTCCCATGTTTAATGTCGGCTGTGCTGCAAAATTAGATTATCCCAGGAAAAACAGTTTTCAATATACTTTTCTTCCCTGGATAACGTATCAGTCAACCTTTCACATTTCACTCCCAAGGATTCGTGTGGTTGTGCTGTGTTTGGGGTTTTCACCGTCAAGAGTAGAATGTTAAAGTCTAGATTGAAGGTAAGAATAAACTCTCAGAATTAGAAATGGTGCAGTGAGGCTCTGGACAGAAGGTCTGTCTTGCTGTAGTCAACTTGCATTGGCAACAAGTAATTGAGGACAGGAACCTAACATCAGAGGTAACATGTCACTTCCCAGGAGGAGCCTGTCTTTCTCCCTTGGTTTACAGAGGGGATGTTGTGCTAAAACCTACTTGTAGCTCTGCAGGAGGCAACGGGGTCTCTGCTAATTCTGCAGTATTATCACTCTAGCATCTTATCCCAAACCATGCCGGAGGATCTAAGGAAGGATGCTGCCCCAGGTTCCTCACCCCAGCCAGACAGCAGTGTTAGCTTCACAAAGAAAATGGCAGGGACAGCCATGGTACCGATGCTGTTTTCTGGGCCTTTATACATCGTTCTGCAGAACGGAGCCTGCCAAGCTGTTTGTTCCTCTGCAGAGCTTTGCTGTGGTAGTGACAGGGTTGGCTTGAGTACTTGTTTTTAACTTTATGACCCTTGTAGCCCTAGAGCAGGACCAAAATTATTTAGCAGAGGAGAATGTTATTTTAGGCCTGGACATTGTAATTTGAGCTGTGCAATCAGAGCACATTAGCTTCAGCAGGACTTGGTCCAGCAGCACGGGTCTCCCATCCCAGTCTGGGCAGGTTGTAGTCCTGGTTTTATAGCGTACCACAGAGTATTGCCTCAGAAAGCTGTTCTTCAAGTCTGAGAGTTTATATATAAAGTGCAGAGTAGCTGTGAAAAACTTTTTTGAGATGCGCTAGACATGTATTGATTAAAGCCAGAAAACCAAAAGGAAATACATCAAAATGGTGAACGTTCACGTAGCACACGAAGAAGAAGGAAAAGCACTGCAACTAAGCTACATGGCGTATTTAAACAATGCTTTTCTATGGGATGCCAACACTGGGTTTACTTTGCCCTTCCCAGAACTATCGCACCTGCCTGGGTTTCACCACTCCTGCAATCAAAAGCTTACCAGCAAGTCAGAGACCTGCACACAATGTCCCAGAAGACTCAGCCTTTGTACAAGCTAAACAGTATCTACCTGCAACCCAGGTTGCCCTGGCACCACAGACCGGTGTGAATGAGGATCCAAAGCTAAACAAATGTTAGGGAGCAGGACTGTGGAAAACGAGGGTATGCACTGCCAAGCATGAGGCAGCCTACACGCCTGCTTCCCTCTGCAGGAAGCTTCTTGCAGCATCCTAACGCCTTCTTAAAGCCACGAGTCTCCTCAAATATATAAAACAAATATGAAAGTGGAGTAGATCCCTTTCTTCTCATCCAACATGCCCCGGGGCTGTCTCCAGCTTTGCCTCCAAAAAATGAAGTCTAGCTCTAAAAGGACCATGGGAGGTTAAAAATTTTGTGAGGCATCATCCTGCCAGTTTTGGCATTTAGGTGTCCTGATGTAGCACAGCCGCACCTTTTCCCCCACTATTCTCTCAGTTTTGCCCTCAAACTCTTTTTTTTTTCCAGTCCACTCAGCTTTGGCTCTCTGGAGTGCCAGAAAGGGCACACGCTGTGTTTATATAAACCCTCTGTCACCTGGCAGCAGCGATCAAATGTGTGTGTGGCAGAGGAATTTCTCCTGTCCTCCATGGGGTAGAAAAGCACTGAAATTACACTTTGCTTATTCTTTTCTTCAGCTCCCGAAGCCAAAATAAACTTTGGGAAAGAAGTAGCTCAGAAGTATAAACAGAATAATTGAAAAATACTTTTCTTTCTTTTAGCAAAAACAGTCTCAAATATTATAAAAGCCCAAGGACCGCATTGCTCTCCGGTCACAACAGCAGCTCAGGTCTAATGCCAGCTGCCTGGCACTGCGCTCCAGACCCCTCTGACAGTGTCACACTTGCTCACGAGAGGTAAAACTCAGGCCTGTTCAAAAGGCCGGCTCGAGACATCAGCTAAGCCCCCCCTAAGCCCTAAGAACAACTGAAGGCACAAGAGGAAAGAAATAAAGGATTATTTCAAACCCCAGGATTTTCTAAGTTGAAGCAGCACCTGGCTGAAGTCACAGCATAAACAGCCCGGAGCAGATCACGGTCGTAGCTGTGTCCTGGGAGAGCTACACAGGACCCAAACAACCCTCAGCTAGCAAATTAAATGACACTTGACAAACATATTCAAAGCTGGTGGCCATTTTTCGGATTGTTTTTGCAAAGCTCAGCACATGGTCTCAAGAGACTGAAATACCTCAGCACCATGAAATAACACATGCCAAAGCTCAGCCCATGCTCAGTGTGAACTGGTTGTTTCTAGAAGCCGGAGGGGACTCGGAGTCAAGTGCAAGGGCGTACTTGCCTGATATTGTCTCCTCCTGCAGAGTTTTTTCTGGTTTTTTCTGTTGATTCTTTGCTAAATGTGATGCTGCACCCTGTACGTGTCATGCTGAACGTGTTTAGGAATAACGGTACTTCTTAAAAGAAACAGGGGAACTGCAGGGCTGGAACCCACTGGCTATTTTGCTTCCACAGCGTTACATGTAATAGCAGTTTTTAAGTAGGGCCGTGCTAAATAATGTCACACAGATGCACTGGAGGGAGTTTGTGTGGGCCAGCTCCAACTTCGTATTCTGCAAAGGACTTTGGAGATAGAGCTACAGTGTCATCAGTTATGCAAAACTCGGGGGGGGACGACAGGGTATCTCTGATGCTGAAGTACTGGTCAGGACTAGTTTGAAGTCTCAGCTACAGGTCTAGAGGAAGGGTCAGTATGCCTTCGAAGGGAGTCCAGCAACATGCTGTCTGGGCAGGATCCCCTTTGGGAAGGAATCTCTGGTGCCGTGAGATTAGCTGGCCTCCGCTGAGTTACTGATGGGAATTCGAGTGGCTCATGGAGGAAGCCAGACTCTCCAAAGTGGGAGTGATTCACTCTCCAGGCTGAGAGAATATGCCAGGCTAAGAGCATTTTACTCAAATCCAGCAAAAAAGAGATGAGAGCTGGGAGGTGGGAGGCAAGAAAATCACTGTTTCATCCAGTTGAAAAGCCCTAATGTTTCTCTTTTTGCTAGATATGTTATCTTCACTATTCTGCTGAGAATAATGCCTCTGTTACAAGCCCAGCTAAAGATTTCTGGCTTATCAAGTTCAAGGCAAAGGAGAAGATATAGATTTGAAGAGCAGGAGGGGAAAGAAAACATACGGCTTTAATGTCAGAGCTTTGGAAACTGAGATACTTATCTAAGTCTGTTTTCTCCGTTCCTTGATTATGTTACTTTGAATTTGGACAAGGAAACCAGCCTGGCCAACCTCACTTCTGTTTCTTCTCAGTTTCACTTTCTGAAAATTATATTGTCATCGATGTACACTCAGATACGCATCTCACTGAGGACAGTTTCACATTCAGAAGACATTTCCTGAGCCAGGAGATGATGATGATGATAGAGACCTTTATCACTACTGTCATTGAAGACCATTGTCATCAGAGACCTGACAAACCTTGTCACACTAGCACAGATGATGGTGTCCCAGACACCACTGCAAATCTGCCTTGGAGCATTACACCAGTATACAGCCACGATGCCCACAAAGCAAGAAGCGCGCTATTTAGTCCCAATGCAGTATTTGTGAATGGGTTTTGATTTGCTTTTAATATGGCAGATGCTTCACAGTTGTGAATCAGAGTTGCTCCCCAGAATTATTGTTTTCTCTTCTCCCATTGATTAAAACGTAACGTATGAGCTCACACATCAAATTATTTCCCAAAGACCTGACTCCTTCCACTTTTATATGTGTGTAAAATCCTTTTGAAACGAATCTGTTCTCTTAAAACTGCAATAATTCAGTAATAAAGCTAGCTCTAAATAAAAGGAGAGAAAGACCACTAGCAGAAATGCAGGTGCTCAGTGTTAGAAAAGAGAGAGATGAATAAAGGAAACCAAAAACAAACTAAGGGGATCTCACAACTAACTCCACACTCAACTGAATTGCATCGGTATAAATGCAAGCACTGTGTGGGCCCCCAAATTAGGAACTATTTACAAAACAAAAAGCTTGCCTCAACTGTATTGTGCCTGTTCTAACCGTACTGAATAGCCTGCCTAATGATGATTTCTTCTTTATTTGGGTCAGGTCTTGCTGAGGAAGAATTTTTTGAGAAACCAACACTAAGCACTGCGAAAGACCACATTGTCATCTTAGCAGGAGAGACCCTAAAAATAAAATGCAGGTAAGGATTGCTCCGGCAATGCTGGATTTCCTTGGTTGTATTGATTACCTCGGCACAGTACAGCTCCTGGGTAGGGTAGAGCAGAGACTGCTGCACGGCCAGCTGGGAACCGGTGCTGTTTACCCTCACATGCATTTCTGCGTGGAGGAGAATTTGATGGGCTGTAATAGAGAAGGGAGGAAAGTCTCAGGTCAGCATTCAGCTTGGCCAGATTCTTTATGCTGTAAAGGGGCCCAAGCAAAATCCTGAGTCAGCATACGGGAAAGCTTATGGGAGGGGGATGTACCACGCTTAAGGACATGGCTGGAAAATCCTCATCTGAAAATAGGTTCAGATTCAGCTCCTCTGCGGCTAAAATCACTCTTTTGCTCCCTGTCCATAAGTAAATGACAAACAAGATCACCAGGGCATGTCATTAGCTCTTTGCATATATATATGAGCTTAAACTTCCTAACCTCAAATACCATCTAACCTATAAGATGACAGTTAAATAAACAGCAGTTAGTATGTGAACATTCAAAGACCTGACCTGTTTTAACATATCATATTCTTTAAATCAAAGATAACCAGGACTCATAAAAAACCAGACTGCTGATATTGTAAATTACGGCAGCTCTTCAGTTCTTGGCACAATGTGCAAAAACTAGCCATGCAAGAAACAAGCAAAATTTTGGTAATGATGTGTGTTTACAGGGAGACGATCCTCTGGAAATGGGGGATGTAGCGTTTGGTCACAGCTGACTGGCACACAGCTATATATAATACAAAGAGTCAGAGCACTTTCTGTTGTGTCAAACGGACATTAGCTTGCTCGGTCACACAAAAGGCCTCAGACTGAGATGTACGTAGGTGTCGCTTGTTCCGAGTGTGATTTATACGCCAAGCTACTGTGAGAGGTTGGTTTTTTAATTTCTTCTGAGAGCGTTGTAGGAGAGAAGGCTTAAGGTAATGCAGACTATCACAGTTTCTCTCCCTCTCTCTCTCACACACACATTATTTTTACACCTTCTTGCAACCCCCCCTTGACCGTAGCCACTACATGGATGGTTTCTTGCAACAGCAGTTACTGGAAACAGTAAGACAAAGCAGTGGGAAGGTGAATCTAAGCTGTAGTTTATGCTGACACATATGTCTCTTCTGATTTTTGTCCTAGTCTATTTAATTCATTGTTATAGTGAAAGATAAATTGACTCACACTGTGTAAATTTGTGATGTCTTCTGGAGTGTCAGGCAGTTTTTTTCCAAATACCTCCAGCTAGCCGTGTGGCTTATGAGGTCAAAACAACCTTACAGTGGTATTTTTAGCTAGGCAAGCAGCAAGTATGATGGCAATAAAGTTTAAACAGTCCTTTAAAATCTAGATGCAGTGCTTCATAAAACACGTTATGTGGACATGGGTTCGGTGTAGTGCTCCAGGCCAATTAAATCAATACTTTTCAGCAGTTCTCCATCCACTGCCTTTTGAATCTGTAGGAACATCCTATTTTTCTCATATCACCAGATGAATAAATAGATGAAGAAATTATTAGCACTTCAGTCCCAAATTGCTTTATGGATGCAAAGCAATAAATCCACACGACAGGTCTGAGAAACAGAAAAGTATGCTAGCATGCTTCCGTGCTAGCATGGGAACAGAGGCCCGGAGCACTTCAGTTCCTTGACTCAGGTCACGCAAGAGCTGGGAATAGAAGCTGGAAGTGTGATTTCTGCACAGCGAGTGCGAGATTCCCCGTATCAGGTCCTTTGCGGATGTCCGTCATCCTGCCTCCTCTGACACACCAGCATCTGCACACTCACGGATTAGCTCCGGACTGGCCCAAAGGGAGCTCTGAAGTCCTTCGTACTTCCAGGGGGCATTAGGGCTGTGTGGAGCAGAGCACGGGACAGCAGACCGAGCAGGTAGCTGCTGAAGACTGCGGTAACTCTGTGTGAACATCCCTTCTCCCTTAAACTCCATTCATTTGAGGTTCTTGGCCAGGATTTCCTGATTTTTGGCAGCTTGGCCAAAGCTACTGCCGTGACTCCCCTCTGCCAGATGTGTGAAAATCCCAAAGCGATAGCCAAAGTCTTCATCTTCCACCAGGATAAAATATGCAGGAGGAAGAAGTGGGCATATGTAAGGAAGCATAAGTGTGTGAAATCCCTGACCCGCGCTGCAGAGCCACTGTTGCAGATTTCCAGCCCTGATGGACACCAGACTGCATGTCTGGTAGAGGGGCAGGAACATGATGACACGCTGGGAGTTGAGTGTCTGAATGTGAAGTGGCATTGTTCCACATTCTGGGCCAGAAGTCCCACTTCTTGACAGAGGTGGTCATTACATCATTAATGACGTTAGTAAGGTAGGGAAAGAGCACTGGGTAGGGACCTCCACATCAAAAAATAATTCATTGCTCTGAAGGAGCAATGAATTGGCAGGAAGCTGGTATGACGGATGAGGTGGGGTTGTCCAAGTCAACAGTGCATCCAAAAACGAGGGTGAGGTTGCTCACCAGAGAGGATATTCACACTTTTCCCAGTGCTCTCGTTCAGCTACGTGCTGGGAATAACCTCAAGAGTTCAGCCCCATGTCCGCATCATCTTCAGGAAGGCGACAAAAGGACGGGCAGAAACGGGGGCCAAGAGGATGTTTGTTTAAGTGTCACTGAATTTGCTGGCAAACGCGTTCCCTTATTGCGCCTATTGCACCACTACAAAGCCACTGGCACAGAAAGAGCAGTTAGAGTTATTAGCTAACTGGAAACTTCACACAGCTTGCTTGTTAGGTGCGTTTGGTATTAGCATCTCTTATACTGAGTCGATGTGTCTAGACCAGATTTTTCCCTGGTGACACTCAGTTGGAGAAATCCAGAGGTTCTTACTCCTTCCTCAGCTCAGCAAATGCCGTTGGGTCAATGGGAATTCACCGAGTGAGAAGGGGTGAGTCAACCCCCCGCCCTTTTGAAGAGTGGCTTCGCTCTGCAAACGCAGGCAGACAGAACTGCCTCCCTCTAATATTAACTTCTTCCCCAGGAAAATCCATGCACAATTACCCCCATACCCCACCGGTTTCCACACTGACCACCAAAAAACCAGTCTGCTACAAAAAGACCATAATCTTCGTCTCATAAGCATGTCTAGCATGTACTAGTGCATCACTAGAGCCCTCAAAGTGTAGCCCAAGCAGAAGAGAGCTCCAAGAGCTCCTGCTGCCATGGTGCGGCCTGACGTTTCCAGCACAACAGGACTAGCGCAACCAGTGCCTGTTCCCGAGCTAACTTAGATCAGTTGAAAGCTCTCTCGGAGTCCTGCAACAGGTTATAAAAAGGCCTTGCTTTTGGTCGGTGAACTACATAGAATTGCATTTGACATTAGCTGTGATCATAGCTAAGACAACAAACGGGTCAGGTGGGTGAAATGGTGTATCACCTGCCCTGCTAGCTTTATGTTCTGACTGCCGTGACAAGGTGAAGTGAAAAAAAATGCCTTGAGCAGATATTCTAAGAAAGATTTGTAATCTGATTAGTTCCAGACCCTTCACAAAAATCAAGATTGAGTCACTGCTGATTAAGCAAGAAAGGTGATGCGACGTTACATAAATGTTCTCCTCTCTCCATGCAGCCTTAGTATAAGAAAATATAAGTTAATTTAGCTGTTAAAATATGCAAAGTTCTCAGCGCGGAAGAAACATATAATTTTATCTGGTGCTTTCTAATGTTTGAAGTGGCTAAAATGTGTTATAAAAACAAACTCGTGTTCAGGAAGTCTGTTAAAATAAAAATTAAACTTTCCTCCAGGAGCTAGCTTGCTACAGTTCCCACAGACTATTTCAGGAATCTCCCCCGCTCTGGGGAAGAGTGTGGGGTGGTCGACCTTAATTCCTTATGGGTGGAAACGCAAACACCCAGCAACCTTTATCATTCATTTCCAAATGACGAGAGTAGGAACACTGGGAACATCGATGACAGTTGGGCAGACGGAAGCCCAAATTTTGTCTGAAGTCATGACTCCATCTTTAATTCTGGTGTGTTGTGTTGACAGGGGAGCACCTTCTGTAAGCTGGCTTTTGAGGAGGGACCAGAAGGAAGACCCCCGGGTGCACATAAGTAATTGTCGCAATAACACAAGGCAAAGCTGCAGCATGCTTGTCATCAGGAAAGTCATAGCTAATGACACCGGTTACTTCACCTGCATTCATGATGACTCCCCATCTAAAGAGGATCTCATGGCCAAGATTTATGTGTTTGTTAAAGGTAAGAATTTCACTTTGGTTTTTTGTTACGGCTTTTTGGTAATATAAGCTGTGTTCAACTGTGGGATCTGTGCTAGGTAGAACAAGCAATCCAATTCAGATGCTTTCACAAATCCCACCTCCCCCCTGGCCCAGCACTGGAGCAAGCACCAGCTTTGACATTTGGAAGAGGCTGGATATATTTGGATTTTCATGCCAGCTGAATTCACAGGGACATAGACGTGAGAACCAGAAATTACCTATCTTGTTCAATTCCGGGACTTGAAAACTCGATTGTCCTGTCTAGTTTTGTGTTCCAAATAACTGATACACCGATTTCTTTAAACCTCTTTTCCTTTTCTTTTCCTTTTAAGACTAAATTCTTTTATCCTAAAGGGTTTTGCTATCACAGTGCTTTTCCTAAGATTCATCCTGAATACCCAAGTCCTCTCTCTTTCCCTTCCTCCCCAGGCTTGAAACTCCCCGACAACATTCTTTGTAATTCCTCTCTCTCCTACACATTTGTATACTGCTTTGTCCTTCACATCTGTGAGACATACTTAGCAAAGCTGGATGACTGCATTATACATATTTTATTGTAAAAAATGGCCCATTGCTCATTTTTGTTCTCTTTGAGCTGCCTCTCCCCCATGTGTCAGAATAATTGAGTTCAGATCCAATAATAAATGGAAGCAGAAACTTCAGAGGAGCGTGGTCCTCGGTGATTAAGTGAATATAACATACTGAACAACCATTTCAATAATACGAATTTTTGTTAGAAGAATATTCCCCAAAAATGCTGATTTTTTTTTTTTCAAATCTACTTGACAAATGCATCATTAACCACTGAATCATCTTGGATCTTCCAAGCTGAGATTGTGAATAGTCAGATAAAGGAGCTGACTTTTAGTGTCTTGAGTAGGGGATGACATGAACTCCATTGGTGCTGAATAGGCTTACTATTCCGTTCCCCACAAATACTCATGAAAATTAATTCATTTCATTTTTCTAGTAGATGCTAAAATGTGATTCTTTGAATCCTCTTACTAAAACAAATGCTAGAGAGGCAATGAGTTCCTCTGACATTATTTGAATAGTCCAGCAAGCTTACAGAAAACACATGGATATGCTGGGCAGCTCTGACAGTCTCATGGTATTGCTAATGATGGTGAAACCATCACGAGGCGTGATTTCTATCCCAAGGGGATTGTGACATACCCACACAGCTAAATTCAACTTCTGCACTACCAGGTGAACACACCTGTTTGATTCATGTGGATGACATTTTCCTGTCTCTTTATGTCTGTTGAAAATAGTCCCTTTCTACCTTTATCCTGCTTTCCCAGCAAGTCTTCCTCTTATCAGAAAGTAGCTTTTTGGTATTGCTTGTTAGTTCCTGCAGTCATTTTTTTCTCCCTTTCTATTTCCTTTTTTTTATTTTTCCCTGTTACTCTAAGCTCTGGTTGCTTTATCCACCCTAGTTCTTGTGCTGAGCTGTTTCCTTTTCTCATTACGCGCTGCTCAGATGCCCCACATCTAATATTGTTAACCCAGCCCAATGCCTACGCTTCAGGAAATAGTGCATTGAAAACTCAATTCTCTATCCTGATTCAGTGCCCTGGCTGGCTACCCAGGCCTTCATTACTCCACGGCGGGAGCACGTGCAGGAAATGTTATGGATCTTTCGGGACCGCCTGAGTATTTTCCTTAAGAAAATACCTCAACTTATGAAATGCTTGCCAGCGATGCACTTGGAACAGTGCTAATCTAAAAAAATCGCAGGATGTCCTCTTGCTCGCCTGAGACTGCTGTGCCAAGGTTCCCCTGAAAAACAGCACTGGATGGCTGTTTTCTCGAAATCACCCTCCAAGATTGTCCTCTCTCAAATGCAATTTAATTGTGTCATATGCCCTCCCTGCTCTAAAAGCTCTTACTCAGACTCCTGTGCTTTAAAAGCTGCTGAAGGAAAAGTGGGTAGAAAATGAAGCAGGCTGTACTATGCACTCCGTGGGTGAAGTAGTGAGAAAGGCAAGTCAGCGGGGATCCCTCTGGTCCATGTCCTAGCCAGCCGGCTGCTCACCCACCCCAAAGCAGAGCTCTGCCACAGCAGTTCAGTCTGTAAGCTTGCAAGTGCCTGCTGGTATCTGGCCTGCCAGTCTGAGGAAGCTGCTTGGCCCCGGTAAGATGAAGCTATTTATACCTCAGCATGGATGCTGTCCTCAGGGCATGCTCTTCCTCCCATTCAATTCCTGTGTATGTTTGTTGAAAGCCAGCCGGCTGTTTTGGGGACAAGAAAGCTGTTCTTCAGCGAGGGCTCTACGAATTGTGGAGTTAAGCAAGGCATTCAGAATGTACCTATGATTTTCTTCAATATTTAAACATGCCTTTTTAAGGAAATTGGTCCAACAGTGTCTGGACATCACTGAGAAACCCATCAGTTGTCTCCAAGTGAAGAAACTCACAGTTCCCTGTGAGCGCCAGAGAAGGGAGAGCTCCAAAAGACATCTCTCTGGACGTTTTGTGGAGAGAGCAAGTGCTCAGCAGGGTGTTTATGAGCCTGAGCCAGGTGGAGTGAGAAAATGTTGAGCCAGACCCTGCAGGCAGGAGATTCCTCTGAGGTTACAAGCCATTATTGCCAAAAAAGGAAAGGGAATGGTATTTTTTCCCTTCGTTCCTGGCCTGCTGCTTGACACCAAAATGAGAACATGATTGTATCGGAAACCCTGCTTATTGGCTATTATTTCCTGTGCTTGCTTCTGTTTTTACAGCCTCCCTGGTGGAGTTTCTAAGCTCTGTCAGAATCTGGCATTCAGCAGCTCTCCTCCCCGGTGCAATTGAGCTGTGACCCCTGCACATCAGTCAGATCATAAGGGATCCGAAGGCGGCAGGGTCAGCCGCCATGCCTCAGCTGTGCGCTGACAGTCTGAAGGGAGGGAGAACTCAGGATCTTAATCCTGAATAATTGTTCCCAAGGCCTTTTCTGCTTCCTGCTGCAGCTGCTAGTCCCAAGGATCGTAACTAAAAAGCAAGACAACCCCCTTCTCCTGTTGCCCATCTCCTTGTTGAAAATACAACGTAGCTTAGGGCTGGAATAGAAGGAGTTGGGTGTTTTTTAACTGCGTTGTTTAGCTTCATTGCAGCTCTGAGGGATAACCTCTGCAGCCAAACGCGGCGTCGGGCCGAACACGGCGCTGCAGTGCTGAACGGGGAGAGCCGCCAAGCAGCTCTCTCGTGGCTGCTGTCGGAGAACAGGGTGAATGGGGGAAGCCCACCCTCAGCCCACAGAATATGCTGTCTCTGCTGAGCCAGTTCTGGACCGGTAGCAGTAAAGACGAGCCTTCACCGCAAACTAGCAGCCCACGTAGGAGCCCACATCCGAAAGACTCATGTGGACGGCATTTCCACTGCAAATGCTGCCAAAGTCAGCTAGCCAATGTCATTTGCTTCTCTCTGTCTTCTGCAATTACCCTTCCCAACCAAATGGGTACTTCCCTGTGAGGAACATACTCATTTGTTTCAATCTTTGGGATCCCTGTGCCAAAGGAAAGGGCAGGCTGTCTATTTTGTGTTAAAATACAGAGAGCCCTCTCTACAATGTTTCCTAGGGCACATATAAAATTTAACATGGCTTAGAGAAGGAGAAAAAAAAAGACAAATCAAGCAGAGATTCGCTCCACCTTCCCAAAGGGCTATCCTAGGCCCCAGCCTAGGCAGAAGTCAGGACTTGCAGCTCTCAGCTATTTGAAAGACTGTTACTGTCAGCAAAGCAACTGTCTCGAAGCAAGATAGTCCTCAGGGCGTCAGCTGGAAGAGCTCTCTGTACCAGCTGAAACGCCGCCTCAGCTTTTGCAGTGATTTCCCCTTGCAGTCCTTAGCTCTATCTAGCAGGAAGGGATTTGCCACACCTTTCTGTACCGGTCAGTCAATGCATCAGTAGGAAGGAGCACGAGCTTAATTCTGTTTTGCTTCCCTCCACCAGCAACTTGTCTGACGTTATTACTGTGGTAACTGGAACTGGTCACATCTTGCCAAACAGCGTCTAGAAAAGTTCATCCAAGTTTCCAAGATGCGCTTTGATTCCTGTCCACACACCCCGATAGTACTGCTTTGCTAGAACTGTAGGGCTAAAGGAGGCGATCTCCTCATCGCAGACATGGGGCGAGCAGGCCAGCAACAGACATCCTCTATTATTTTTTATGCAAAGCAGGGCTGTTATTCTGTTTCTTGAAATAATTATGGCCGTGATAGGGCTGACTCTCAAATAACTACTTCAGAAACACGAGTCCCACCTCCTCTGACCAAGATACTGTAATTGGCACAAAATGATGTATGTGAGCCCAATACATCAGTGTTGGCTGCCGCACAAGGGTCCAAGTACGCTGGGGTAGAATCACCAACTCCTGTTTGTGCCTAGTGTGGTTCACTCTTTGATCACATAGATTGGTGAACATTTTAACGGCGTCTTCCCGCCCACAGCAATTCAGCTGCTGGTGTTTCACCATCTCAGTGTTACTGTGAGTTAGGAACATGGCAGGATCGAGGGAGTAACTTGTTTCCATGCATTTGTTTTTCAGCACTGGTGTTCGCAGGAACACAGTGTAACTAGAAGATACCCCTGCAGAGAATTTGATTTCTGGCTCCTTTTAAAGTTCATACGGACACCGTGAAGCACCAGCACTGCAGGCTCAAGCCATAGTGCAGTCCTGACAGGAGTCCAGAGCACAAGAACTGGAAATCAAATTTGAAGCAAGACAGACTTTTATATGAGAGCACAAGTCCTGTTAAGGCCATTCTGAAGGAAAAAGGGGCATGCTTCCAAGCAGCTTATCCTGTCAGAGCATGCATCTCACTGCTTGTCAGCTCCAGCAGCAAGGCATCCCCAAGGAAGGGTATGAGCCCTCCCTTGCTATTGCAAAGAATGAGGCGGAGAGGGGGTACGAGTACTGCGTCAGGGTAGAGTGTAACATCAACCACAATCTCTTCTTTATCAAATGGTACAGCCCAGAGATGTGAAGTCCCATC